GTTTAGCTTCTCCTTATTGGGGTCCACGAGGTACACATTAAATTTAGAAGCATGAGGTGCAACTGTAGTGATATCCCCTCGCGTAAGGCTCCTAGGTTCAAGGTACACTACCTCAAGGAGCGTTTCTTGTGAAGTAGGCCGGCGAGGTGGCCCGACCTTACATGTGACACTTTGCCAGATATTTTATTGTGTCTTGGAAGAGTTACGATAGAGCCTACAGTAATGGTACTCTTTAAATGATATCATCTACAATAGTGTTAATAGTAGAAGGTTGTATTAGATCCTACACTCGTAATACATCTTTTTAATAAGTGATATTGATAGTAGTATTGTTATTACCATTCTTAGTTTACATAATTATGGATAATCATCCTGCTACTATACGTAATCAACCACAAGTAGTAGTTGATCCATCGGAGAGGATGGAAGCTGGTGGTAATACTAATCCTAATGTTGGGTAATAATAATTATATAATACATTAATATAATCATCATTAGTATCATAGTAGATATTATATGTATGGTGATGATATATTTAATGGTGATAATACTAAGTTATTAACAAATGTTGGTGTCGATATGAGGATGGGATTCATTAAGAAGGTGTATGGGATATTAGCAGTACTACTATTACTAGTACTACCATCTTCATAATGTCATTATTTATTAGGTACAATTATTGGTAACATTTGGTATAATATTATTCATGTCATTGGTGATACCCACTACATACATATATAATAACTTTTGGTTATTTATACTAAGCTGTGTGATAACAGTTGGATTATCAATCGTAATAAGTGTAGTATATTTATTAATATTACGTCATTATTATTGTTCAGGCATTATCATGTTCACCTGAATTATGCCGTAACTATCCTAATAATTACATTGCACTTGGTACATTCACTGTATTCGAGGGTATTATGTTAGGATTCATAACTAGTATGTATACAATATCAAGTATAATATTAACTATTGGTATAACATGTATAGTGGTAATATTCATAATAATAACAATAGTATTATCATCATATTAGTCCTTCTTTAGATGGGTGGATTAACTATATTCGCCATGACTACTAAGAAGGACTTTACAGAGGGATTAATGCCATATCTATTTGCTGGATTATTGGCATTATTATTATTTGCCGTGTAATAAAGAGGAAGAAGAAGAGTGGTATCATGATGATTATTCATGTATCAGGTTATTAATGATATTCCATCCTAAGGGTAACTCTTATTGGTATGCTATATATGGTGGATTAGGAGCTCTCATCTTTAGTCTATATATAGTATTCGATACACAACGTAATAATAATGATGATACTAGTAGTAATGTTATGTCCTCTTCTTCTTCTTGTTGTTGCAGTTATATGTGGTAGAGGGGAACATCTAGGAATGGACTTCACTATAGATGATTATGTTATGGCTGCACTTAGTATATATCTAGATGTTGTTAATCTATTCTTGTAATAATAATAATACTAATAACAAACATTATAGGTGTTGTTATCATCAGGTATTTATTACAATTATTTGGATCACCACAAGATAACTAACAAGTGACCATAATAATACTACATCATACTTATGAACTACACTCATTTTCTGTCATACTCGAGGAGAACATATAGTGTTATAGTATTATAAATAGCAATGTTGTTATCTTGTAGTGGTAGTAGTAACGATGATGATGATGATATGATACCGCTATGTGAAATCGATCTTCAACAGTAGTAATAGTCATTATTATTAAACCTTACATGGAAAGTACTGTATACCCACCACGATCAGATCATCATCATCATCATATTGGATGTT